AGAGATCTGCCTGCCTCTGCCTCCTGAGTGCTGGGATTAAAGGCGTGCACCATCACTGCCTGGCCTGAGTCAATTTTTTAAGAGAGTGTTCCATCTTCTACCTTAGGTACTGGCAAAACATAGCCTGATTTCATACAGCCTCTAAGTGAAGAATCATTTTTATGTTTTGAGGGGGGGTGTTCAAAACTGAAGTGAACGAGGGAATGAAGGAGGGGCAGAAGAGAGGGGAATTAGCAAACACAGCCCATATGTGGTCTGTCCATAAGTGGCCTGTGTTACCTAACGCACACAGTTCTCTGGACATCCGCAAAGCACATTTTCAGAGCTCTGTTCCTGACCTCGCGGACTCTTTAGGGATCTTTTGGTTAGTATCTATGCTCATTGGGGCCAACTGGACATTATGTTTACGGTGTACTGTTCCACACAGAGCTTACTAGCACCTGAAATACGAGTGACTCAAACTGAGGTGTGTCACGAGGGTGTTACGCACAATGATTTTAATGTCCGAGGAAGAAGGAAAGGCCTTTGCCACTTTTTATGAAGAAACTGTAGTTACTTTTCTGCTGTCATGAGAAAACACTGTAACCAGGGCAACGTATAAAAGAAAACACTTAACTGGGGGCTCATGATTCCAGAGGGTTAGAGTCCATGACCATCACTGTGGGGAACATGGCGGCACAGGCGCAGCACTGGAGGAGCTGATGAGCGCCCACATCTTGATTCCCAAGTGCAAGGCAGAGAGAACTAATGGGAATGGAGATGGCTTTGAAACCCGCTCCACCAAAGCCAAGCCTCCTAACCTTTCCAAACAGTTCCACCAACCTGGGACCAAGCATTCAAACACATGCGCCTGTGGGGGCCATTCTCATTCAAACCACCAGAGTTGATCACTATTTTGAAATAATATTTCAGATATGTGAGGTTAAATAAACAGTATCTATTTGGTTTTTTTTGATGTGATCAATAGAAAGTTTTAAACTACCCGTGTGGTTTACATATACATTATTAATATTCAGTCTCGACTAAAACTGGGCAAAATATTTGGGGTAGCAATGATTCACAGCTGATTTCAGGCTCATTATAACTCATTGCGGCATGAGATACACCATCATTTGTATCTGATGACTGAAGGCACTTGTAACAGCTTACTAGTTTATACCAGATACAGGTACACATTTTGTGTGTGGTAATATTTTACTGTGTGAGATTATTGATTCTTTAAAGACTTTTCAAGTTACGGTCTTGCATCCCTTGGTAAGCCTTGCTTGAAACAATTGTTATTCTAGGAATTACAATTATGTTTCTACCTTTAGAACTTTTTCTGTCTCAACCTCCCCTTCTGCTACCATAAGGCTTAGGGTGTCAGGGTTCCTGGGGCACCGGTGGCCAAGACAGTGATGCCTGTGTGAAGGTCAGTAAGGCTCATGGAGATAAACTATTCCCGGGAATAGAACCTGCTTTATTGCTCATAAACAACCACTTACATAGTGGAAGCCAGTGAACTGTGATTGGCCAGCACATTCCCCTGGATTGGATAGTGGGCACCACACCACACCACCATTGTCTCTATGTGGAAGAGCACAGTAAAGGAGACAGGGACCAGTCACTGGCTCCTCGAGCTACTTCAGAATTCAGTGTTCTGAGTTCTGGAGCAAGGCATGCCATGCTTCCTCTCTAGAAGGGCAGTATGCCAAGGCTTTTTCCTACATTAGGGCATTTCCTCCTACCTCAGGAAACATTTCTGAAGAGCAGGGGAAGAGTGTAAGACCCGAGGAGTGCTGTGAGATGCTGACTTCTGGGACTGACTGCGGTGTGACAAAACCCAGGGAGGCACAACATACAAGTCTCCTCACTCCAGACAGGGAGCTCCTGACCAACCAGAGTACGGATACACCCAAGTACAACTTGGCGAACCAATGAGACTTTTTGGGGGGGTTATTTACAGAATTATGAGTGAGGGGTTACTTACAGGGGCAGATATGACTCCAAGTCAGCTGCATCCCCAACATGGGTGACAGCTTACAAAATCTGGGGACCTGGAGCACCTTGCATAGCCCAGAGGCAGCTGCACAGGTTGGAGAGTGCCCCTTCAACTGAGTGAAGTCACTCAGTTGGTCTCAACCTCTTCTGGGAAGCTTGGCTCTTCCTGGCAGCTGGTCTGGTCTCAGAGTCTTTGCAGTGTGGTTTGCCAGAGAGTGTCTCTAGGCTACCTGGGGTGTTTACTCTTATGAAGAAAAGGTCTAATGTATGTGCTCAGCTTCAGAAACTTCCTGAAGCTATTTTGAATTGTCTACCTTATGCCTTAAGGGGCTTCCCTGCAAGGTGAAATATTATAGTCTTGGAGGAAACAGCTACCAAATATTGACAAGGTCACGGAACTCATAAACTCACGGCATCCGTGTTTACCCACACAAGATGAATCCAGCCAAATCTAGGTACAGATGGGGAGGTGCTCCCCAAGCCCCCATCTCTTGCTGAGGTGCTAACAGGTTAGAAGTCCTAAGCATAGGAGATGGATACCTGAGGGTGAGTCTTAGAGTGAAATATGGGGGAGTGCCAATGGAGGAGACCGGCAGAGAAGGCTGAGACGGATGAAAACATAAACAGGCAGGAGGGAAACTCAAGAAGGCAAGGGCAGAACTCAGGCAACCAAGCAGTACGAGATAGGGCAGTCATCGATGTCAAATACTGCCGAGGGTTCAGGTCAAACACAGGCTAAAACGCATCCTATGGAAGACTGATTCTACATAAGGGTGGAAACAGTCACCATGTGTGAAGGAAGCGAATGAGAAAACAAATGAAATAAAAGGAGAATATGACTACTCCTGAAGAATGGAGAAGATATTTATTGTAGATATAAAGGCAAAAGCAGGCAGAGGGAAGAGTCCAGACTGACCACGGATATCAGAATAAACCAGGCATGAGAGGATATCAGACTAAACCAGACATAAGAGGATATCAGACTAAACCAGACATGAGAGGAGAGAAAGGGGGAGCAAGAGAGGAGCTGCCAAATAAGGCCAAATGGCAAAGAGAGTAAAGGGTGGATGAAAAGACCAGGTAACCAAAATGACTGGATTATATAGGGAAGGGGAACCTAGCCTCTGGGTTGGAGAAGCTTAGTATAGGGAGCAGGGCTTATCAGCCATACCCTGTAACAGGTAGGGTCTGAGGGATGCTGGGAGAACCCAGGCAGTGAGGTCCGCTTTGATATGCTAACTAGGATCCTATGCCATTTGTACCAGGTTTGAGACCTAACAGGAAAGAATTCAAACTGTGTAGCAGAACCTTAGAAACACTGGGCTTCTGTCCCTGGCAGTGAAGTTTCCGTTCTGGGAACATTTACCAATTTCTACCAAAGAGGAAGATCAAGTGTAGTTTTTCTCCCGTGACTCTGGCTTCCCTATACCAGAGTGGCTTGGCATTTATGGGGGATTGGCTTTTGACCCCCCTCAGATATGAGGACATGCGCAGCCTCTCTATAAAAGAGCACTCTTCACCAACAGTTTACTGTGTCCTCCAATTAAAATATCTCGAGCTGCATTGCTGAGAGAATGGCAAGAAAAACGTCTGGGGCATAGAGAGATGGCTCAGCATTTAAGAACACTGGATGCTCTCCGAGGAGATCCAGGGTCCATTCTGAGTACCCACATGGTAGCTAACTATGGTCTGTAACTCCAATTCCAGGAAACTTTTGCATTGGGCATGCGCATAGGGCACACACATCCACGTAAGCAAACGGTCACTCACAGTCAAAGAAAATAATAAATGAAATCTAAAAGAAATTAGGATGCCTGTACATACGGATAAATGGAATTTTGATTAAAAGTGTGTTTGACCTGCATATGGTTGACCCTATGCACATGGCGTTTGAGTATGACAATCATCTTTATTAGAAACCAACATAACAGTTTTTGGATTTAGTAATTATTGTAGGTTTTAGGATTAACAAAGTGTAATTACATCGTAAACAATACCCGTACAACAAAACAGTATTTGATAGTGCTCCTTAAAGAGCACCATGACTTTTAAATACTATTCCTGCATCGTAGGAGAGCCATGACTTCAGTGTATGATTTTAAATCATCCTTGTTCCACCCCTGACAGGCGGATCTCTGTGAGTTCGAGGCCAGCCTGATCTACACGAGCTAGTTCCAGGACAGGCTCCAAAGCTACAGAGAAATCCTGTAACCAAGGAAAAAGAAAACAGGAACTAGCTCAGCTTTAAAAAGTCGGGGAAGGCAACATATAAACCGGACAGCTTGGAAGTGCTTCAAAAGCCATCAAAGCCAATGGTTTCCAAATCCCGCAGAGCATAAAAATGGACGACCCAGACCAAGCATTAAAATAAGAACCTGCTGATTTCTGTGAGTTTGAGGCCAGCCTAACCTAGAAGAGCTAGTTCCAGGTTAGCTAGCACTGTTACACCTGTCTTGGAAAACCAAGAAAGAGAGAGAGAGAGAGAGAGAGAGAGAGAGAGAGAGAGAGAGAGAGAAAACAAATCAAAACAAAACCCTGTATCATCCCCTTAACTCCCAAAGCAGAAGCTGTGGAACGGGACCTAGATACCTACTTGGATAAATGCCCTAGGTGATGTAAATTCAACTCTTCTGCAGCCCTTTTATGGGTAAGGAGACAAGGCCCCAAGTTGTCACCACCGGGCTCTCTGGATTGGGGATTCATTCTGGTGTTTTCGGTGGCGCCCCAAAGTCTTTAGCGGCCTCTGCTACACTATTTTTAGGATGCTCTGCTTTCCCGGGGTTCTCTGTGTCCAGGAGACGTGACCTTTCTTCGCGTTTCCCTCCCCGCAGGAAACGCCCGGCCCTGCTTCAAAGTGCGGTCTAAAGTGTCAGCGGCCCGTCCCCAGTGGCACCTCTAGGAGTGCACACCCACCGAGTCAGCTGGTCCCTCCTCTCCCACTAGCCCTCCCCAGGAAACCAGGGGTGGAGCAGCCCTCAGGTTACGCCTCCATGACGTCTGCCTCGAGCGTTTCCGGAAGTTGATGGTCTGGCCCTGGTGGAGCTGATTGGCTGGTTGCAGTCTTGGGCATTGCGCGGGGATTTCTGGAATTGTTTGGGGCTGAGTTTGCATAAAAGAGCATGGCTGGGCAGTGTCTTCTCCTGCGCGAACTGCGGGGCCCCCTGAACCCCTGTAAAGACGAGGAGGAGGAGGACTGTGCGCAGGAGGATGAGGAGGATCAGGATTCGGAGTTTGTGGACGCCGAGGAGCTCTGCAGTGGCGGCATCAAGGCGGGCAGCCTCCCTGGGCGCCTCCGCGGTGAGCGAGCGCCGGCTGGGCCGGGTTTACTGGGTTCTTTCGATTTTCACTGCTCTACGCCCGGCGCCAATCGCGGTTGTCAGGTAGACCTGTGTGGCATGGCTGCTTCGCCGTACTTAACATGAAATAGTAACAGTGATAATGGCAGTGACTCCGAGCACATACTATGTGTTAAGCCTGCCTTTTACATATATGCAATCAGTTAATGTTAACAGTTGTTGGAAGTAGTTCTACAGTCGAGGAAATTAGTTATGGTGCCCGTATGTCCGCCCAGAAACAGAATTTTTATTTTTTCCCAGACAGGGTTTATCTGTAGCTTTGGAGCCTGTCCTGGAACTCGCTTTGTAGACCAGACTGGCCTTGAAATCACAGAGTTCTGCCTACTTCTGCCCCCTAGTGCTGGGATTAAAGGCGTGTGCCACCACCGCCGGGTTTTTTTTGTTGTTGTTTTGTTTTGTTTGTTTTTCGAGACTTGGTTTCTCTGTGTTACAGTCCTGCCTGTCCCAGAACTCACTCTGTAGAACACGCTGGCCTCGAACTCACTGAGATTCACCTGCCTCTGCCTCCCAAGTGCTGGGATTAAAGGTGTGCACCACCACCCGACTCAGAATCTTTTAATTATTATACTGCTCTGCTTGAATCAAAGACGGAGTTGTTCTTTAGTAACTTAGAGAAAACGCACACAAACACACAGACATACACACAAGCATACACTTTCACTTATATACGTGCACTTTCATACACATGTACATACACATATATGTTCACGCATACATATAGATTCATATGTATACATACACTCATACATATACATCCACTCACATTTACAAATACACATATACATACAACACAGTGCACATATACATGCATACATACACACATATACATACATTCACACATACACACTCACACATATATACACATGTATATACACACATTTACATATATACATAATACACACATACAGACACACATGTCCATTATTTACACTTGCATATATATGCACCCATATATACATACACACACATAAGCACATGCATACACATTCACACATGTATATACACATATGCATCACATTCATGCACACTCACCCATATTCATACACACATACACACATGTCCATACATTCATACACATACATTCATACACACACGCATGTCCATACATTCACACACATACATTCATACACATACATACACCATACATACACACATATACATATGCACACTATATTTGCATGAACTAGTACAATAATAGCTGCTGACCATGTGTGGCTGCTGAAACACAGCTAGTGCGATCGAGGAGTCGAATTTTAAGTATTACTGAATCTGAATTTAAATGCAAAGGATTGTGTGTTGATAGAAGTGCCACTGGCTATCCTGGCCAAGCATTTGGTCCTGGGACACCCCGGGGAGAGCAAATGATGACATTGACGTCTCTGTGGAAACACCACTCGTGAATGAGGCAGCATTCTCTAATCACAGAATTAGTATGTAGAAGGAACACCAGACAGCACTTGGAGAAGTCAGAGCAGGTTTGCTAAAGCAGTGAGCTGAACTGAGCTCTCTAGTGAAGGTAGGGACTGCCCAGGAGAGGCAAGCGCAGCTGAGGGGTCTGAGCCGCTCCTCCGAGGGAGGCGCCGTGGCGAGTTCTTAGGGACCCACATAGAGGCGGTAGCGGTAGCGGCTGAGGCCGTGATAGTAGGTAGACTACAGCCATGTTCACTGCTGTAGTATTTACACAGCCATATTCACAGATATAGTTTTCACAGCCATGTTCACTGATTTTCACTTTTATAAAAACCAGTAAAAAGATAACAACCTAAATGCCCAACAACAGATGAAAGGCACAAAATCTGCAGTACATATAAAATGCTGTTCAACCCCTAGAAGGAAGACAATCCCTTACTAACTGTGCTGAGTGAAATAATCAATCACAAAAGGAAAACCACTCCATGAGTCTACTCATTTAGTATCTACTTAAAAAAGGAGGCAGAAGAGTTTGAGGAAGGAGAAATGGAAAGTTGCTGAATGTACGTAAAGTTAAAGATATACAAGTAAAAGCAAAAAGCCCAGATACGACTTAATTAATACTACCTAGCTGCTTAACCATGGACAAGAAGGTAAATTCTGCTACCTTTTCATAGTTTTTAAATTAAACATACCACTTCTATTTCAAGTTCGTCAGTAGCGGATTTATGGCTTGCCCGCGCTTGCTTCCAGAATGCATAGTTGGAGCGCTGTCCTGTCGTAGACAGGGAGTCAGAGAAACGAACCAGTAGAATGAAGTGTTGGAGGCAGCAGGAGGATGTCTGTATGGGGTGCTGCCTGTGTGGATGTGTGAGGGGATTAGAGAGAGGAAAATATTGGGGGAACCATTGCCAATTCCGTGTTATCTTCGTCTTCTCCCTTCCTCTAGTTTCTATTCCTGATGAAAATACTGCAGAGGAATGTACCGTGTCCGGACGCTTCCCACTCACAGGTCCATGGTGGCGAGTGAAGGTTCGGGTGGTAAAACCTCCTCCGCGATCCAAGGTCTACCAAGCTCAAGGGTTTCCGTCCTACTTTCTGCAGTCTGATATGTCGCCTCCAGGCCAAAAAAACATCTGTTCGCTTTTTCTTAAAGAATGTGGCTATGAACGCAGAGATGACTTTGTAAAATGGGTGGAGAAAGTGTCAAGCTTTAAAAATCTAAACTTTGAAAATCTGCGGGAAACATTAAGAAATTTCGACAGACAAACTGGGCAGAAAAACAAAAAGCAATCTACACAGAATGAGCAGGATGCGGTCAGATTGCCTGTGGAGGAATCATGTAAGTATGACTTTTATTAGTGAATTTTCGCCTTCCAGACAGCGACTGACTGAAGTGCTGCAGCTCCTGGTTCCTGACGTACCTCACATGGCACAAACTGAGGCTCTTGGATCAGAAAATCTCCATAATACCAAGCTTTCTGCACATGGGCACGATACGCTAGGTGACTTTTCTCATCCATATACATGAACTCTGATCATCCACAACATTATTAAAGTATTTTTACAGTGTTATTTTTAGCCTATGGTGTTTCAGATGCATATGAAAAATAAATGGGTTATATATTTAGGCTTGGATTCAATCCCTAAGCTTTCGTATAGGTAGGTATTCTAGATTATGGAAAAAAAAAATCTCCAAATATTTTTCCCAAGCTTTTCAGATACAAAATTCAGGAAGTCTTCCTCCAGCCCGCAGGCTGTATGTGGAAGCTGTGAACGTGGCCCAAGGTGACTTAGTAACCTTTCGTAAGACGGGAGGTTTATTTGTTTATGTCTGTAGCTCAGTTACTTGTTTTCAGTTGTGAACTTCTTTGGTGGCAATGTGTTGCAGTGTCAAAAGTTTGGCCATGCCTGTGTCCTCTTTGGAGTCAGTTTGATGAAAACGTTACCTTTGGTGGACTGCCAGGATTCTGTTCGGTCATCTTCAGGTTTCTGGAGATCCCACCTTGAGACTGTGGTTCTGTTTCTTGACTTTTGAGTTCGTGGAGAGTACGGAGTCAGTAAGACAAAACTCAGCTGCTGCTCTTTTTAAGAAGACTAAAGAGAAAGGAAAGCTTTGGAATAATCTGTTTTAGAAACATTTCAATTCTAAGTGACTTAAAGTAGCGTTACAAGGTGGTTTTCTCTGGGCATCCATGGACAGAAGGCTTTTCCTTTCTTGGTGAAAGCAGATGAATTATGCATCACACCAAAATGGCTCTGAGGACAAAAGAACCCTGGTTACAGTTGGGAAAGTAGCAGTAAAGGTTAATGAAGAAATGGTTTATTTTTGTGCTTAGTTCTAAATTTACCCTAATAGGATGCATCAGAGGATTTTTAAAAATGATTATATTGCAAACAAAAGATTAGGAAACATTAAGTATATAATAAAGGACAGAAAGTTTGGTGTTCATAACAAAGAAACCATCTTGGTAGGAAGAGTTCTATTAACCTTCTTAGTGCTTCAGCTAAATTGAGCAGTCTTTCTGATTTAGGTGTCTTCAGCTGGTTGTGGTAAGAGAAAACTCTCCCGGTTCGTCTTTCTGGTCTCACTGCTATGTTTTGCCTTGTTCTTTCTTGGTCCCCTGCAGTCCCGTTTGTAAGTGTAATGACAGCTTTGCAGTTCCCAAAAGTCATGGAGTTCCTTCCAACTCTTTTTCCTCGACACTTCAGAAGGCTTATCAGCTCAAGTTCCGCAGAAGTGTTACAGAAGATTGACGACGTCTTGGGTACTGAGCCATGGAAGCTTGGGTTCCGTAGAGTAAGTAAGGCATTTGTTCAGCACTTAGTAATCTTGTGTAAGGCAGAGTTCTTCCAATGTGGCCATGTTTGAATTTCTTTCTGCTGAGAACATATGTGGATTTAGTGTTGGTTTTTTTCCTTGGGTGTCATAAGTCAACATAAATATCTTAGTTCTATAATTCTGACACAACTATGAAGTTAATAAATAATGAAGTCAATTGATTAATAAACAGAAACTAACATAGCAAAATGTATGGCATTTAGATCATCACCATTGATTTAATCATGCAGTGTATTATGATACAATGTGCTTTTCTGTCACTCAGTTGTCATTTGTGTTAGTCTCATTGAAGACAAATGTTCTTTGGGCTTTATTGAGTCCTTTTGCTCTGCAGTTCAATCTCCCATTTCCCAGTATGACTATTGAAGACTTATATATCCCCAGGGCACATCCCGCTGTTATCTGCTTGTTAACTGGCCCAGTAACACCCTTCACCAGGAAGTCCATATTTATTCTTTTTGTCAGAGAAGAAGAGTTGAAAATGGCGCTTGAAGGCCTGGATGGCGTTAGAATTAAATGTGATTCTTAAATCTTGGTAGCTATGACATGGTTTTCCAAACGAAAACACAGCTGACTAAGTTTAACGGTCTCCAGTGTGAGAATTAAGAGATCACTGCCTCCCAAGCCAGCACGAAAGTAGAGCTATTCCTTGACGGCCTTCTCCAGAAAGGCCTTAGACTTAGCGGCAACAGAGGAGGGTAAGGCAGGAATTACCTATGATCCATCATCATTCATCAGGGCTCAGGGCTCTCCTCCCCTTCATGTTAGTGTCTAGAAGTCTTATTTGTATCCAGTCTCTCTTCGGCGGGAAGAGTCCTTCCTGGGGAATTTACTCCAGTGTGCTAATCTTTCCTTCCTCGAAGGACACCAATCTTAGGAGCTGAAGGCCCATTCTAAGAGTATCGTTAGTGTTATGGCATTATTTAACATTCGCCACCTCTTTGAAAGGCACCGTCTCCAGCTGTGTCACTTTCTGGGACAGTGGGGACAGTGTTTGCCTTGTGAGGGATCGCTAGCAATGGAGGCCTCAGGAAGGGCGGAGCTGAGAGAGCCCATGGTGACGTGCCCCCTTTGCAGTATTTGGGAAGCATTACTGGTAGACAAGAATTATTGGTAGACACATGGAAAACCGAGGAAGCCAAGAAAATGAGGCAGCTGTTCATGCCCCAGTATGTGCAAAAGCCCCTACAAAAGTGCTGACAATACAGAAAACCTCTCCCCTGGGAATCATACTTACATATTACATGATAAACACTAACTTAATTGGACTGATTAACTAGATGTGTGCTACAACTTTTTTCACAGATAAGAAGCCTGTATCAAGGTGATGGCACAGGCTCTTATGAAGCCTTTCCATTGTAGAAATTTAATATTTTTTTTTTTTGTATGTGTGGTTTTTTTGAGACGGTTTCTTTGTAGCTTTGGAGCCTGTCCTGGAACTAGCTCTTGTAGACCAGGCTGGCCTCCAACTCACAGAGATCCGCCTGCCTCTGCCTCCCGAGTGCTGGGATTAAAGGTGAGTGCCACCACCGCCCAGCTTTTTAAAGGGTTTTTTAAAAGTCAAGGGAAAAGGTCAGTGATACGTACAACGTGGAAGTCAGTTATGGAAGAAGAAAGTGTTAGTGATGTTGTCTTTAGGAGACTTGGGAAAGAATAAATCAGGGGATTTCTGTGTGTGTATATGTGTGTGTAGCATTGCTTGACACTGAAAATGGTGATTTGAAAATTATATAACTGCTTGACTATAAGGCAGTTAAAAAGACACGGATGTATGCATATAACCTTTTCTCCAAACTTTGTGGAAATATTTATTTCCTAGAGCTTGTAAAGGCTTAAGCCAGCACAGCTTCAGCTGTAGTTATAATAGCTATCACTGTGTATACTTTGTGTGAACATCCTGAGCTGTTTCCCCAAAGGTAACCTACCGGGAGATGAAGCTCTTGAGCTGCGAGGCCAGCTGGACCGCGTTCAGTCAGTGTCCCTCGCTGCTCCAGCTAATGACTGCGCTGCACAAGAACGCACTGGTCATATATTTGAAGCTGAAGCAGACTTGTAGAGAAGACGGGCACACGTGTGTTGAAGTAAAAGACTTGACTTTGGCTGTGTCGGAGTACATGCCTTTCCAGGAAGCCTGCGATTCTCTGGAGTTTATGAAGAACCTCGACGTGGTGACCTATGAGAAAGACCGAGTCTTTCTTTCCGAACTGTACGAGGCCGAGCAAGGCATTGCATCCTCCATCTGTGAGCTGATGAACAGACCCCCGTGGCGTCTACAAGTGGACGTGAGGCACGTCCTGGCGTCAATTTGCAGTGGGAAGCCCAAAGATTCAGAAAGCGTTGCGGCAGTGGAAGGAGGTGAACCGGGAGAAGCGGGGTTAGAGCAGAGCGAAAGTATTTCAGACCCGCAGGACAGTGGTGACTGCATTAGGAATGATGGCGGGCCTGAAATGAACACAGCAATAAATGATGTGCCCCTGGATCCAGATCAGGTGGCCGCACTGGAAATGATTTGTGCCAATGCCGTGACCGTCCTCAGCGGGAAGGGTGGCTGCGGGAAGACCACCATTGTTAGCCATCTCTTCAAACACGTGGAGCAGTTGGAAGAAAGAGAAGTGTGGCAAGCTTGCAAAGATTTTGAGGAAGACAGGGATGCCTCAGAAGAATGGCTTTCTTTTCCTAAGCAGAGTCCAGCAGCAGAGGACAAGGCTGTAGAAGTTTTGCTCACGGCGCCTACTGGGAAAGCGGCTGGTTTATTGAGGCAGAAAACTGATCTTCCAGCTTACACACTGTGTCAGGTAAAACATTTGATGTCTTTGTGTGTAGATAAAACGTTTTCCTAAAAGCATCTTTGCTTCCACTGTGTTATAACATACTGTTACCCGAGTGTCGCTCAATGGCCATTTCCGTCATACTTGTACTGGAGATGAAACTCAGGGTCTTGTACACGCCAGGCACACTCTTTACTACTGACTCCCATTCTCAGACTCAAGAGTTTGTAAGCCCCTCTCCCAGCGGGGGATTTTACATTTTATTTGTTAGTACAGCATCCACCTGCCTCATCCACCATCTTGTATCCTCTCCTTCCACCATGTCAGGTCCTAGGAGCCCTGCCTTTGCTGCCTGGGTCCTTTAAACTTAGCTAAGCAAAGAGTTTCCCTCCGCTGCTTGGACTGTCCTCAGGGTCCCAAAGCTGAGATTTACACCACTGATTTCAGCTGGGCTACAGCCAGCCTCCTCCCTGCTGTCCCCAGAGCCTCCCCCAGCTCCTGTTTGGTGAGCACGTGCCTCAGATATTTAAACACCATGTTGGGTACATTCAGCGGGGCCCGTTCCTCCTTCGCTATATTTTCTCTAAACTGTGTCTCAGGCCGCTGCTTCCTGGACGTGAACGGACTCGGCCCTTCTGTGGCTGTTGCTGACACACTCCACTTCTCTCTGTGACTTCGTTTGGATCAGCTCAGCCATGATCGGGGTGAAATTCTACCGAGAAGGAGGTCCTTGGTGGTTTCAGGCTCCTTTGCTGGCTGTCTACCC